TGTTAACCATTGAACTACATAAACCTATTGGAAAAGATGTCACTTCTATTAATATAGAATTCTAACACATGTTCTACATCATCCGGGAAGGTATTTTCTCTGACTTCCACATTTGTCTCTTCTTTTTCTATCCTTTTATTGTCCTTAAAGTCAACAGCATGCAGGTTAGTCCATGATTAATGATGTTCTAATGGTGTCACCTTTGTGTAAAGACCTGTATAGTTTTGTAGAAGATATAGATAGGAAAAGCTAATTGGATTGTTATCTCCTTGGGGTCTACTGGAGAAGGATTCATTGTCTTTAAATTTTAGCGTTCATGCGCAAAGAGATGAAAAAAAGAAAGAAAGAAAGAAAATATCTTACAATTACTTAATCTTGTTCTGTTTCCCTTAAAAGGAGACAAGTCTTTCCACTTCACAGACACAAAGCTTAGGTTACCCTCTCTTTTGGGAACAAACTCTCCTTGAGAGTTGTTATTCCAGAGAGAACAGTGAATGCTTGGAATTCTCAAAATAAGTTTCATATATTTTTTTCAATGTTTTTTATTTTTGCTAGGTTGCCTCAGACTGCAGTTTCTTTTCAGTTCTTAACAATTGTATTATCTACTGAGACTTGTGATGTTCAAGTCTGGGCACCAAATAGTGAAATTGGATTCAAGGGTCTGTAATGGCAGGGGAAAAGATTTCAAGGTGGAGCTGGGATTTCAAGGCAGTATCTATATAATACTTCCCTCTCTCTTTCTTGTGGACCTGCAGGTGATCTTGGTGACTGAGATGGCATCTTCTCTGAAGGTTCTGGTCCCTGTCTTGGTCCTACTGTGCCCCCTATGGGGGCAGCTTATAAGTGGCCTGAAAGTCTCCCAGGAGGAGTTCATGAGACATCACCAACTGAATGTACGGAAGGACTTCCTCCAATACAAATGTGATGTCCTCATGAAGAAAATAAGGGGTCCGAAAAACAAGGAGTCTCACATATTCATCTATGCCCCCCGGCAGATAATTCAGAATGTTTGTCTCCGGACTTGGAAAGAACGGTACAGAAATGTGTATATTTGGCTGCAGCGACCCTTCAGAGTACTCACCTGTAAGCTGAAGAATTCAAAAGCTAATTACATAGGGAGGAGGAGCTACAGCTACATTGAATTTCATTGTGGCTTGAGCGGATTTGTGGATAGCATACACGATATGGAGGTGCTACAGTTCTCCCCGTATTAGAAGCCTATGTTCAGTGATTCCCAAATGGTGGGTCCTGCCTACACCAACAGTCTTTGCTATTCTCTACTTTGTACTTCATATGCGGATGTTTTTAAACAATCTAAACTTATGCATCACATTGCTTCTTGATACTATGGTTTTACCTAATCTGTTTCTCTGTCTATAATACCCTTATCTCCTCTTTATGATTTACTCATAAATTCCTTTTTTCAACATTCAACTTACATGGCATCTTTTCTTGACTAACCCAGGATTTTTACTATTACTTTCAATATTGATTCTCCTTATGCCTACCGTAAATTCCAATGTGTGTGATATTTATGTGTGAAGGGTGGAAAATATTTGTTATGTGATTACTATGGGTGGTGTCTTGTTGTTTTTAGGTGTCATCAAATCAGTACCGACTCATAGTGGCTCTATGCACAACAAAACAAAACAGTGCCTGGTCTTGGGCCAACCTCACAATTGTTCCTACATCTGAGCCCATTGCTGCTGCTACTGTGCCAATCCAGCTCATTGAGTGTCTTTTTCTGTTCACCTTTGCTCTACTTTAGCAAACATGATATCCTTCTCCAGTGACTGGTCCCTC